AGAGATGGTTGTGGGGCAGTAGGATGCAGAATTTGGTGCCAGGTCTCAATAAATGATAAAAACAAACCATGGAGTGATTCGGTACAGATGAACCTCTTCAGCAACATATTTCGTGTGTCTTGCTGTTGTCAGCAGGGATAGGGAAATGCCAGTCCTCTCCTAGAGAGGGCAGAGAACGGGAGACTGGGCAGCTGCATTTGAAGATCTCAGCACCTCACTGCCTACACACCACCAGTGCACGAGAGGGTGAACATCCCTGCTGTGTCGCACACAGCATCACAACAGCTTACAACCACTAATCCTTCAAGAGCCACCAGCAGACTGCATGTCCCCTAGCCATCATCTCCATGACTTCAGCTCACAGAGACAGGAAAAAAGATTACAGTGGAACATGACAGCATAGTCTGAATGGTAACGACATAAAAGTGTCATCACCTCATCCAGCAAGCCCGCTCCTCGCCTTGTTTTCAGTCAGGAGCGTGATACTTTTCTCTGGTGTTAGGTCAGCAGAGCGAGCAGCCCCTCCAGGGGGGCCCCCAGATCCTATTCCTGGTCTGCAGGAGAGCTCTCCCCGAAGATGAAGTGGCACAGCCTGGCATCCTCTACTGCTTAGCGTGCCAAAAATGGTCCCCTTTCAGATCCCGAAAAGATACTCTAGGACAGCACAACTGAAGAAGAGCCCTCAGCAAACTGAGTTGTGCTTAACAGAATCGCAGCAAAATCACAGATTTAAAGCCTTTCTGTGCAATGCTCACAGAAATGCTGCTTTTTTTTTTTACTTTTAAAAAACAGAGTAACACATAGGCAAAACAAAAAAAAAATGATTCAGGCACAAAGGTGGATGTGCAGCTTGTTCTGGTCTTTTTTGGTATTTGTGATTAGAGAAGCCACGAACTTTAAGTAAGCATCTAAACATGCATTGTATACTTGCCATATAAAACTGATGCTAATTATCTCTCGTGCAAACCTATGGCAATGCAGGCTAACAAGTGCACAGGATGCCTCATTAAAAATACTGGTAGTGCTCAGTCCTAATATCAATTGTTAGTACATGAAAACAGTAGTAACGCCTAGGCACTTAAAAGTTGACAGAATTTGAGTGTGTTTTCCCATGCTGCCCGAAAAACATGTATCATCCAGTCTACAGTGGTATCAAATGCTTAATTCTAAGGCTTAGAAACACGATAATAAAAGGGAGAGAATGTGATCTGCATGCAGGTCAGCCTTCCTGTGAGCTATCTGCGTGTCAAGAATATTTGCAAACTTCATTAATATAAATAAGGGGAGGGAGGGAAGAGAGAGTTTAACTCAGAGGAGAACATCACCAAAATCAGTCTGTGATGATTAAGCCTATGACAAAATGAGCAAGACAATGCCCAAGGAGACCATTTGGTAGGTTTTCCCACTGCTTTTCCCTAGGGTTAATTATTTGGATGTGGAAAATGCAGGACAACCTGGAAAGACAAAAACTAAACTTATTTCCCAGGCCTTGCCACCTTTAATACCCATGGCTGCTGAGACTGAAAATTCAGGTTAAAGTGTACGTGAGCTGTCAGAGCACAGTGCTTGCCGTAGCTGTTTTCTGCTGACTGAGAACAAGGGAAGGCAGCCCACGGCCCCAGGACCTGCAGGCTGCTCTGGTAACCACTAAGACTCCAGCAGCGTGTGCCACCTGCAGACCTGCGTCCCCTTCGACTCCTTCATTTCTTGCCAGTGGCTTTGCTCCTCCTCTCCGCTGCTGTTCTGACCCATGGAAATCCAGCCGATCATCTCTTTGCGCTTCATGCTGCGCCTGTTGTAGATGGACACCATCAGCGTGACATCGGAGAGCTGGAAGAGGGCAACCTGGAAGATGAAGGTTTCCTTGTAGACAGGGTTGGGCTGCCCTCGACGGATGGAGGTCTTGCAGCGAGACATCTCCTGGCCCACAGAGTTGAGCAGGCAGAGTTTTCCATAGGTATCTAGGACAAAGAAGAGGAAATAATGTTTAGCATGGGTGCAAGACTAAATGAAAGCCCCAAGCAGTCAAAAAACACCCAAAAAACTGCAAGCAGAGTAGCTTTGTCTGCAGTGAATAACAGTCAAGGGCTGGACTTAATAAAATCCATGCGATGAGGAGCACCAGGTGACAGCACCTCTTGGATTTCCTCGTATTCAGCTGGGAAGAAAGGAAGGAAACCGCTGTGTGTTTCAACCCTATTCTCTTGGAAAGAGCAGGAAATCTGGTTCTGAACCCTAGAAAGCCTGTCTAAGGCTAAGAGAAACTACAAACATCCCTATGGATTCTCGACATCCAATGGTATGTCTGCATCTTTCCTTCCTTTCCCTTATAACAAAGCATCTTTGGAGCTGTCCTACTGGGGCCTCCCTTGGCTGCTCTGCCTCTCCACCACTTTCCTTTGGAACCGTGCCTCTATGGCCCATTACTTCAGAAAGCAAACAAGAAGGGTCCTGAGAAAGAGGGAAAGGAAACCTGCATAAACAGTGACACGGTTTGATCTCACACTGTAGTTTCAAGGCTTTTTTCCAAATTATCATCTCACTTTTTTGGTGGACTCGAGGTCAATTTTATTCACCGTTTAAGTTAAAACTAGGAGTAAAAATGCTTAGTAGATACAGGGAAGGGATGGTCCAAGTCAGCGTTGCAGTAAATCCACCCTTAAAACTCTTGCTGCCTCCTGTATTAGTCGGTTCACCTTTGCCACGTGGTTGCTAATGCTGTGGTCTCAGGCAGAGCTCTGTGCTTCCAACGCTCCACATACCCTGCTCAGTCTGAGTTTTCACCTCGCTCTGCACGTAACAGATCACTTGGCTAGAAAAGCTCCCTCCTCACCCCTCTGTAACCTATGCCTGGGTTTCTGCAAGTGAGTGTTATTTCAGAATGTGCTGGAAGACAGGAAATAAATAACAAGCCTCCGTCTCTTGTCTACAGCATGTCTATCCTCTTCTGTTCCCGTTTGATGTGCTATTTTATGCACTTATCTACTGAGCAACACAAGGTGTGAAATTACACTTCAGGTGTGAAAACACTTCCATGTCTCCAAAGCAAGGCTCTCCGCTCCTCTCAAACTGTTCCACTGAAAAAGCTGTCACAAGACTGACAATCGAGGAGCAAATTGTGAGCCTGCACAGCTGCACAGCTACTGCATTTCTGTGGGGAAAGCTCAGTCCGATCATTAGCCATGGGTGCCAGCTTGGCTCCCAGCACAGCACTGGACAGGAAGCAGATCTTGCCAACAAAGACCGACTTGTTGGACAGAAGAGCAGAGCTCTGACATGAAATGGTCTCCTTGTATCTGGGAAGGAAAGAACTGCTTGATCAAGAGGTGGACTAGCTCCCACAGCAATGTTCAATGCTGGTGGTGCTGAGGGGCTGAATCCTGTAACAGCTTACAACCCATCAGGAACACAAAGCCCAAGAGAGGACTCTCTCTTGTAGCTCGACTCAATGTGAAACCACGCGAGGTAACTGCCAGGCACAGTCTCTCACAGTGCTCGTAGAAATGTCACTTTGCTTTGCACTGACAAACCACAATGTGCACTGAAGCCGTCCTCGTGTGGAGGTCCTGACTGCTGGTCTGAGGCTGTAGGGAACTCCCTGGAAATAAAAGTAAGTGGGGAGTAGGGGTTCTATGCATTTTCTTATTTTTTTTAATGTGTTCAACCTTTTTTTGTGAGGAGGGGATTTTAAAATAGTGAAACAACTCTGCCGAGCTGATTTTTAAATACAAACTAGCGGCTAATTTGCACAATTCCCTGGTGGAATTTTAGTATTTTTCTGTCAGATTGAAAGCTTACACTTTTCACATCGTTTCAGTGCATTTTTCCAAACCAAGCCCATTTACAGGCAGAAAGCTGAAGGGCCTTGTTTCTGCTGACACACAAGAGAGGCAATTGCTGAGAAGCAGGAACTCATGGAGTAAGCCCCTCTCTATTTGCTCCTGGCCCAATACCTCTGTTTTTCACCAGATATGTCCCTGGTATCATATCGCTTTCCCCACAGCCCTCTGAGGGCGAGGGCATCTGACTGGGACCACAGCAGTGGATGGGAATGTTCAGTAAGGGCAGAGCTGTGGCATGGAGCAGCACTGGAAAGGTCCTTCCCCTGGACCCCTTGGCAGCTCCTGGAGGGTTTCCCTGGCTGTTCTGGGGCAGGCGATGGGCTGAGCAGAGAACCAGTGTGCAGCCAAGGACCGCTGCAAACACCCTCGCTGCTATCCCAGTGCACTGTGCAACGTAACTAACAGCAAATGACGCACTTGTTTAGCTTACCTTCTCATGCTACGTCAGTGAAAGGTCCTAGTCCCAAGTCCTAGTCAACATCATCAAAACGGCGTATGACGTAACTCAGCAAAAATCTAGTAGATGAGGCTACCATTACAGATTATCTAGTTTTTAACACTAAAGCAAGTGTCACAGTTAAAACACCCCATAGGATGCTGCTTCAGGATGTCTCAGTTAATTTTCCAGGCAATGCATGGAGTTTCTTGCAGTCACAAATTCTAGGATGTCACATCCCTGACAGGCTTCAGCATTTGCAAGTGAGCAGTCACACAGCTGACTTTAAAGAAAACCAAGCACTGTGCCACCAATGACAGAGATCAACATTAGAAAATTAGGCCTTTTTCTTTAATACACATCAGATCTGCTAAGTAATCCTGCGCCAAGGTGCTGCCTATATAGTACCAAGGTCGTGGGGATTCTGCAGGTATCATCTGGACCAGGGAAGAGTGTGCAGCCTGGAAGGGGGCTGCTAATACCAGGAGCCCTATTCACCCCCATGCAAACACAGGCACAAAACCAGTGCGAGTGACAGCTAAATCAGGCTGCTAATTCCTTCTCAAATTTATTTCACTGAGTGTATTTTACCAGCCAAATGAATCAAGCTTGCCTGAACAGAAATAAAGGAGTAGGTGTGGATAATATATTTAGCATCTGAAATTGGCGTTGCAGAACTGGTACGTATGAGGCTGAACTGTTATTCTGCCTCACTAGCTACATTTTAAGATCATGATTTGCCCTTACTGCACTGTGCTCCTTGTAGCATCTTTTTAGGTGTCTCATCAGGAAACACTTCCTAGTTCTCCTTGTGGTCCAGTCCGGTCCTCTCAAATGGAAAGCTCTCGCCTTCAGTTGGCTTTGCCAAAGAAAATCCATCCTTGGATAGAGGGTGAAATTAGTAGAACTACAGCAAGGATGAACTTGAAAGTTTACTGAGGAATGTGTGTGTGAGAGCATCTAGTCATTATAAAGGCAAACGTTTTCCATCTAATGACGTGCTCAGTGTCAGTAATGACCTCATTACTGTGGTATCTCAGCACCTTACGCTTTTCAGTGTATTTACTTTCATGCCACCTCTGTCAAGCACAAGAGGAGAAGAGAGATTACAGCTTACGTTCTTTAAAATGTCTAAGCGCTTACCTTCTACTTAGGCACCTATCTCACTGACATGAAGAAAAGCAAGAGCTCTCAATGTCTGGGAGTGTCTGAGACTGCAAGTGCCCACGGTTACACAAAACTCTGTGAAAAAGCAGGAACTAAGTCTAATTTTGCCACGACCAATTTTAGAACCGCATCCACCAGGCTGTCCTTTCCATGTAGGCTTTGGAACAGAAGTTTCTGCTACAGATAATTTTTACCCTAAACTCATCTTTCATCTCTGGTATGAGTGGATTGGACAGTGTTCACATATACATAAAGTATCAACACCTCTGCATTTAATACCAGAGTGAGAAGCACTAAATCAAGGAGTGCTGCAAGAAGGCAGACAAATTTTGGGCTGGCGCTGCATAATCTTACCCCAGAGGTCTGCCCAAACCTCTCCTTGTGCAGGCTGCTCTATCTCCATCAGCACTGCCCCAACCATAAAACACCTCCTGAGAGCTCATCTGCAAAGGCAATCAGTTTATCCGAGATTCTTCTAATGACCCATTTCTGTCATCATCCTTCTAAGGGAGCTAACCGACGACGACAACTCAGGGGAATAATCAATAGGCGTAATTTATAGGTTTCCATTTTTGGAGCAGGAACCATAGCACGCATTCTGCTTTCGTTTACCCTAAGCTCCACAATTATTAATAAAGCTGACCCGTGAACAAACACACTGGAATACAAAAGCATCCAACCCCCTGCTTGAATTTATATTTAGAAAGGAAATAAACAACCAAAGACTCCTGACTTCTCGGGTCTGTGGACTGCAGAGCCCAACACGGTGCTGGATGGACCTTCCCACCCACACTCCAGCAAGCCAGCTCATTTCCAAAAGCAGTATAACCACGTCAGCACGCTGCAATCCAGACTAATAACACCAGCAGTAAAATAAAGCCTTGGGTCTAGAGCTTCATTTCACCCAGCTGGCATGCCCGCACTCCGAGCCTACGTAATAAATGGCAGCAACGCACAGCGAAGCAGCCTCAGAGCTCAACTCCGTGCTGTTCTGTATAGGGCAGCTCAATGCAGGGGCTCAGTTTGAGACCCAGAAGACCACTGCTCTATCAGCTGTGGCTTTACTTCCCCATTAAACAGGCAGCGGGGCAAGAATGCTCTAACCCTGGCTCACTGCAGCTGGACTGGGAAAAGAGCAGGGAGGAGAATTAGACCCAAGCTTTTGTTCCCAAACCCACATCGTGAAAGTCTGAATTAGACCAAAGGCAGCTTGCGGCCTACTCTATAAAACGTACAAGAGCTGAGAGTTGCCTACTACGTTGCTGAGGAGCCAGCTTTCCTTCCCTTGTTCCACTGAGTCTCCGTTGCTCAGGTCCCCTCTCCCGTGGCTGGCAGCGATCACGCAAAGGAGAGGCTGGGACCCAGCCTTCATGACACGTTGAGTCACCAGAGAACAGGCCACTAGCACCTTTAATTTAAAATGCAGCAGAAAAAGCTCACAGCTCCCTGTAAGCGCTGTTTGGCCTGTGGGGAGGGAACTGACAGCATCCGCTCCATTTTACATGTGCCGGGCTGC